CCTGTCATCCCAGCATATGTAGGCTAGCCCTAGCATACAGTGAAATCTTACCTCAAAAAATAACCAGAGCAAAAAGAGGCTAGGAGCTTCTCGGCTCATGCAGTAGAGTGCCTGCCTAGCAATTGTGAATCCCTGAGTTCAAAACCTAGCCTAGTACTGCCAAAAAAAAAAAGAGAGAGAGAGAGAAAGTATTTTTTATAATAGATGAAAGCATGAAAACAAGACCTGGAAAATAATTAGTTATCAAATTGTATTATTAGGCTATTAGTGAACTTTCATCTGTTAGTGTATAGATTTAAAGTCTATTATCTAATCATAGCATTTCTATAATTTATAGTTTGCTTAATGCGTTATCTGGTCCAATTTTTTAAAATAGTATTTGTGAAATAATAAATGTAATCAGAAGGAATGTTTAGAGAGAAGCAAAAAAGTAAAAAATAGCTTGACTCAGTTCTTTTGTAATTTTCTTCTATCTTTGGTTTTATTTTCTATTCACACTAAAAATGTACTCTTCATGACATGTAGTTTATCTGTTTCACTTAGCATTATGTGATGGTAGAAGACCTAGGATTTTTGACTTCTACCTTGAAACATTTTACTCTTCAACCAAGTGTGCAACTTAAGAAAGGATCCTGTGAAGCAGTAGGGGAAAGGGATACCTGGTTAACCAGTTAGTAACCAGATTAGCAAAAGTTATTTGGTCATATTCTTGGGTCACTTAGGTTCTTTTATGTAACTTGTCTTATAGCAACTCTCATCTCTAAATCCCTGCCTACACAGCTCTACCTTCTCAGGTATCCAACTCTACCCATTTTTAGACTCTCATCTGCTTTATCTCCTCTCTCTGCTAGTTTAACTCTGGGTCTTTCTTGAATCTGAGTTTTTAATTTATCTGTATTAACACTGTCTGATTTCCAGTCTTGACCTTTTAAAATCTATCTTTTATACATCTTGTAGTGATTTAAAAAAAAAAAAAAAAGCAAATCTAGCAGTGTTACACTCTTACTTGAAATTCAGCATTGGTTTCCTATTAAAGGACAGGATTTGAATTCCTTGACATGTCATGCAAGTCTTCTCACAGTCTGTCGTCTCCCTTGCTTCTCTAGCTTCGCCATTTGTGGCTTTCTCTCTTGAATTGCATGCACCACACTGCCTCACTCATGACTTAGATTGCTTTTTATTGTTGTGTTCTTTTGCTTTCTCGGCCTTGAAATTCCCAGGTGAGAATCGGCCCTTAACAAAACCAGATACACATTTTCAAAGACTACAGCAGTGAATGTTGTAGTGTAGAGCACTGGAGTGTCAGGAGATTTGATAAAATGTAAAGTGCCATAGAAAGAAAGAAAGTTAATATTTTTATAAGATGTACTGAGAAAAGCTCCTTAGGTGCAACATGTTAGATTCTCTTTTCTGAGTAAAATTCAACAGAACAGCAGTATGATTTGTTTTTCTCTGGTTAATACCATGAGATTTGCTGATGACTTAGACGTATTGTTTGTGTGTTTCTGGCCTATTTGGCATAAGTAATTATGATTAAATTCTTCTGTTTCTGGTTATAATTGATGAATATTGTTACTATCCCAAATTGTTCCTTAGGAATCTGTGGAAATATGAAAGCAAATTAACAGTACAAATTAAAAACCTATCATGGCTCTTGCTTAGAAAACAGCAAATTCCACTCTCTTCTCCCAAAATAAAAAAGAGGGATTTACCTTTTCTTAAAAGCTGTTAGTTTAGAATTGTTTCTGAATTCTGCTTATAGAATAGAAGTCTGGAATTCTAGGTAGAATGATTCTCATTTTTTGTCCTGATGTGGAATTTTATATATTACCTCCCCCCCTTTATTTCCTTTTATATTTTGGTTGTGCTAAAGATTGAATCCAGGGCCTTGTACACGCTAGGCAAGTGCTGTATCCACTGAGATGCATCCCTAGCTCATTTTATATTTCTAAACATGAATTTTAGCTTGTATATTAAGAGAGATTATCCTTTGTTAACTTACCTTGTTACATACATGCTATATGATCAAGATATTTGATAAGGATTATCCAAGTTTTAGTTGTTTTTTTCTCCCCCTCTGGGGACATTATTTAAAAAATTATCATAAAATGGTTAAGTATGGAAAGCCCCACTTCTGTGTGTAGGAGCTAGACTCTGGAACCAAACCGACAGAGTATAAATGCTACTTCTACTTTTATTTGCGACCTTGGCATGCTACTTTAGCTCCTTGGGCTTTCTTTGGGTAATAGCGACAATAATTAAGTGATTACTTTATGGGAAGCACTTAGGACAAATGTCTGCAATAGTAGGTACTGCACACAGTGTGCTTTTACAGTGTACTTAGGAACACATTAGATGTTTCTATAGATCTTGATGATGTGTTGTCTCCATGAGTGTTATTTTAGATTGTTAGCTTTTAACCTATTTTTCAGTGAGTGTTCTATGCTTTTTCAGCCTTTTAATCATTTTTCTTTTTTCTTACTTAGCAGAAGTACTTAATTTCTCTTATTTAATGCCTCAGACAATGCATTTGACATTCTGGGGGCTTTATATTTTCTAAGTATTTAATAATGCTGTTTATTACTAAAGGCATGGTGATTTAACTTTGGGATCTTGGCTCATTCATCCTTTTAACTAATTCATTCAACTTAAAGTCATAATAAAAAAGAACTCATGTTGCTATACCCTCTGCCAAGAGTAAGCATTAAATCTCTTGCCTCTTTATATAAGCATTAGCTTGTAAACTGTAATGTTTATCTGTTGAAGGTCTTTAGCAAAACCAATAGAATTGTTTGGATATACTAATTTTTCCTTTTATGAAGGAAACTTAATACTTCATTAGCAAGAGTATGCCATTTTGAGAGAAAAGAAGGGACAGTTGCAACCTTGGCAGGATAGGGTATGAGGTATGTAAGACAGTATAACCTTATGAAGATTTTTTTTAATGGCAAAAGTTGACTCCTCGAGTCACCAGTGAAACTAGGCTGTATGGATGGTAGAATTTGATGTGATGTTACCATTTAGTCAATTTATATTGACAGTTCTCCTGTGGTTGTGCTTTCCTCCATATCATCCTGTTGTGATTCTGTTTGAAAGCTTAATTTTTAAAACAAAACAAGCCATAAATATCTTGGTAAAGGATAAGAGAATAAGCAGATACACTTTACATTTTAATGAGACTAAAATTTACAGTTGTTATAAAATAGGTAATAAATTATTTTGAACAGTATTTACAGTAAACATTTTAAAAACTTTATATTCTCATGTCAGAAAGTTTTTTGACAGAAAATTTTAGGCAGGTGCTCTATCTCACTTGAGCCACTCTGACAGATCATTTGGCGTAGTTATTTTTGAGATAGGGTCTTGCTTTTTGCCTGGGCTGGCCTGGACCTTGATCCTCCTATTTGTGCTTTTCCACCAGAGCTGGATAGCAGGTGTGTGCCAGTGGTTGAGATGGGATCTTGCAAATTTTTACCCAGGCTGACCTTGAACCTCTATCCTCCCTACCTCCACCTCCCAGATAGCTAGGATTACAGACTTGAGCCACCCACCCACCTTAAAAAGCTTATTTTCTGAAGTGGAAATCTCAAGTTCATATAATTACCTTTTTAAATTTTAATTTTAGTTTGTACATAATTGTACATATTTATGGGGTATTGTGTTAATAATCAAATCTCATGGTATTTAGCATATTCATCACCTCATACACTTACCATTTTTCTTTGTGGCGAAAACATTCAAAATGCACTCTTGCAGCTGTTTTGAGATATTCGGTACAGTATTGTTAACCATGATCACCCTACTATATAATAGAATACCAGAATTTATTCCTCCTGTCTAACTGCAGCTTTGTATCCATTAACCAGTATCTTCCTACCCGCTCTACCTTTACCCTCTCCGGCCTCTGATAGGCACTCTTCTACTCTCTGCTTCTTTAGAGTCTACGTATGAGTGAGATCATTAAATAGAGTATATGAACATGATTTTTATCCTTTCCTTTCTTCTTCAGAAAAATGTTTATTGCCACAGGCATGGTGGCACACATCTGTAATCCCAGCACTCGGGAGGCCGAAACAAGAGGATTGTGAATTTGAGGTCAGCCTAGGCTACATAGTGAGTGAGACCCTGTCTCAAAAAAAAAAAAAGCTTTATTGAGCTCCTGTGCTAGTCAGTGTGCTAATAGACAAGGGGTTGCAGTGGTGTGCATTCTTAAAATCTATGATACATACTGTACTTTTTATTTATGTTTTGGGAACATAAGTAAAATTGCCCTTAATCTAGCTGGGCAGTGTTCAGAATCTGAGTCAGAAGTATTGTTCTGATTCAGAGAATGAATAATAATTAGCCAGATGAAGGGAGGGAATATTTCTAGTCAAGGGACTCTTCTTTACATGGGCCCAGATTGTGAAAGAGGTGTCACGCCAGAAATGTAGTGATCAAGGAGGAGAAAAGAGAAGAGTGGTAGAAGTAGAGTTCAGAGAAAGTCTGTGGTAGCAGTGGGAGAACACAATGAAAGGAGAAGAGTGAAGTGGAGGAAACAGTATTACAACTTTGCAGTAGTCCACACAAGGGATGGAAATAACTTGAAGGAGTGTGACTGAAAAGGTGGTGAAGGGAAGATTCAGGATCTCTTGCAGGTTAGATAACGCTCTCTGGAACTGGTACATATTGGGGTTTAAGAGAAGGTTGTCATGGAAAACTTCAGGTTTCTGCCTTCTAAAAGTAGAAAGTCATGATACATTTGCTAAGGCTTAAAAAAACAAAACACTAGAAAGAGAACTTAGGAGGGAAGGATGAGGATGAGCCAGTTTTATAGTTCTTTAATACAGGCAAGAATTTAAGGGAGGAGAAAAAAAAAAGCAGAAGCTAGAGGGGAATATGGGGGCAGAAGGTTTTAAAATGTATGAGAGGCTTGGACATGTTTAAATGCTGAAGAGACGAGAGGGCCCATTAGAGAGGGAAGGTCCGAAATTGTCAAAAGGAGGAAGGGGCTAACCAAATGAACATATCCTTAAGAAAGGCTAGAAAGAGTATACCTAAGTGGAATTTTGGTCCTAAATAAGAGATGCTCTAGGAGATAGTAAGGAGAGAGCTGTGTAACTGTCGTACACACTTAGTGGGACTCATTTAGCAATGAGGAGGGGAAACAAGAATCAGCAGCTTAAAGCAAGTAGAATTTTGAAACAGTCACAGTAAATAGTGAATTGAGAAACAAAGTAGGATTTAATTTGGAGAAAAACAGCAAAAAAGCAATCTCTACTTGACAGAAGAGATCACTGATGATACTGTAAACTTGAAAGAAAAGGCATTAATTTGCCATGACCTAGTGTTACGGATGCTAAAGGAGGCACAGCATTTACAGTGCCACAGACTTAACTGCTCTGCAGCCTTAACTGCTCTGCAGCCTTATTGTAATGTATGCTTTCCACTTAGTGTTTAAGATTGTTTATGTTGGTTAGGCCTAGTTTATTTCTGACTGTTGTTCTTTTTTTTCTTATACAGGCAGGCAGAAGTCCTGAAGGCTGACATGACAGGTATTGTCTGGTTTATTTCTTTTTCACAACTTTATACCACTAAATTAATGGAAGAATATTCTCTTTCCTGTATTATGTGTAGGACTAAACCCTGTCCTACTTGCCAAAAGGGATAATTTGTTATTATCCCTATTTGCTTTAAATATTTATTGTTTTTAGACTTTGGATTCTTAAATACCTGTAAGGAATTTTATGTAACATATGTCATATTGAATTGAACATCACCTTATCACCTAATTTAATGTATGTAACCAGTTAATTTTTACGAACTTTTTTTGGCAGTAATGGAGCTTGAACTCAGGGCCTTGTGCTTGCTATACAGGTGCTCAACCACTTGAGTCATGCCTCCAGCCCTTTTTTTGCTTTATGTAATTTTCAAATAGGGACTCACATTTTTGCCCAGGCTGGCCTAGGCTGCAGTTCTTCTGTTTATGTTTCAGCATAACTGGAATGACAGGTGCACTCTACAGGCCTAGCTTTTATTGATTGAGATGGGGTTCCAGGAACTTTTGGCCCCTGCGTTAGCCTCATTATCTTCACCCCCTGAGTAACTGGGCATGAGCCACTGTGCCTGACTTGTATGCACTTTATCTCAACCATTTAAGATATACATAAAATAATTCACTCATACTCCATATAAATTAAAAACATGATGTTCAGTTAATATCTTCCTGGGAAATTGTTCTTATCCTATTTACAATGAGTCAGACTTGAATGGAATAGTAAGTAAGCCTTCAGAAAAAAATATTTGCGGGGAAACTACTGAAATTCAGTAGTTTCTTTCTTGTCTTCCACATCGTTGCTGCTATGGTAGTAAACTATGCAATGATCAGTATGTCCTCCATAAGAGCCTATGTTGTCTTGAAATATAAAAGGGATATGTAGTACAGATCTCATTCTAATTTTTGAGGATTTTAGTTATGCAATAAAACCCATGAAGAATTAAATTGTTGTGGTAGCCAGATTATCTGCCAAGATTTATAATGGAAGAGGATATGAACTAGTGGGATATCTTTTCTTCAACTTCTAGAATCATATGCTGATGTTCTCAGTTTATGGGTAATCTCATTGTCATATTATTCAAGAAAAAAGGCTTATGATAGATTTACTTAGTACAGCACCACAGCTCTTCATATTATTAACAAATTTGTCATCATCTGCACTGTGTATATCAGTGTCAGCTCTGAGCTGCTACAGTGTTATACTTTTGAATTGGCTTGCAAGCATAATTTGTATTGCAAAACAATGCATGGAGCAACATTAAACCATGCACGCCGTTGAACACTCTCCATAAGGTGGTCTTAGGGTCTGAGGGTTTGACTTTTACAGGGGACATTAGCTTCCTAAAAACTTAAGCCCAGATACTAAGTCTACTTGTTTAAATGACAGTCTTATCTGATAGATCAGAGTTAATGATCTGTTACAGTCTCCTTGTCATCATTGAGTTGAAACAGGTTTGAATAAATCTATAAATTTATTAGTGATTAAAAACCTATTAGGAGACCAAGAAACTGATACAAGACTTTATTCATACTTGCCAACCAAGTCCTATGAGCATTAACTCAAATATCCAGTAGATTACATTTGCAGAACAGGATTGTGGTGGCCATAGATACTAATTGGAAACCTAAAGAGGACTGAAAATTATGCCTTTGTGTAACAGTAAACTCCTAAATGAAATCAAAGCTTAGCTGGCTATTGGAAATGGATAATTGAAAAGTCCATTATTATAAGTTCCTCTGAGGCAACTTAGTGTCAGTTACTAAACTGCTCAAGAGGTTAGTAATCAGAAAGGCAGCAGTGTGGCAGAAAGCATGGTCCAGTTCACAATATGTATAGTCATAAGCTGTCTTTCTACTTTTATCTCACACATAGTCTCTCATACGGTCTCTTGCAGTTCAATCCCAATCTTTTTGTGGCTCTTCTCTATATTAAATGGCAAGTGTGGATTGCCATTGCTTGGAAGGCAGTGTACCACTTACTAAAATAATTCTGTCATGGCTTTATTGGGTTGATACACATAGAATAGGAGTAACCCAAGCAGCTGCTGAATGGTGATAGGAGAATTCTGTAAATACGTCTGTAGATACATGTATATATAATATAATACTGTTTATATTTTTATTGGGCCTATATTCCACATATGAGAGAAAACATGTGGCTTTTGATTTTCTGAACCTGGCTGACTTCACTTTAGATTGTGTTCTCCAGTTCCATCTGTTTGCCTGCATGTATCCAAAAGTGGGACTGGTAGAGGAGACTATAAAGGATGAGAAAAAGAAGAAAAATAGCAAATAATAATGAACTACATCACATCTGTGTAGGAACAAGACACAAGGAAACATGCTGAAAACTGCTAAACAACCCAGGACAGGGGGAAAAGGACAAGGAAGTACAGTGGAGGGGGCTTACATTGACTTAAGTACAGTGCATGTACAGGTATAATACCAAGGTAAAAACCTCCAGTGAACAATGAACAGACACCTAAATAACGAAGGGTAAGAATGAAAAACAGATCACACTAAGGGGAGGGCACTAATGGGAGAGAGAAGGTAAAAGAAGTAAAGAAAGTAAATATGGTTGATGTACTTTCTGTACAAGAATGAATATTAGAATTTTTAAATCTGTTGAAATCACCATAAGAAGAGACTAAGGTAGAAAGGAAAAAATGGAGGAGGTGAACCAATTTGGGATATCATACATACATACATACATACATGGAAATGTCATAATGAAATCAAGGTGAAACAGGTCCTGTCTGGAGGTTGATGTCAGTGGGAGAGGGGAGGATATAAGGAAAGGGCGTAGGAAGGTAAATATGGTGGAAATACTATGTACTCGTGTGTGAAAATGGAAAAATGAGACTTGTTGAAACTATTCTAAGAATGGGAGGAGGGGAGATAGAATAATGGAGGGGGTGAATTTAAGATTCTATTGTAAGCAGTTTTGTAAATGTCACAATATACCCTGAGCACAACAATAATATGATTATAAAAACAAAAGTATTTAGCCATAAATTTAAAAAGAGATGTCTATGGGGATAATTCAAAATATAAAGGAAAAAAAAACTACTTTGGACAAAGAAGTACAGTTATGAGGGTGAACAAAATAAAATTAAATTAAAAAAAATTTAAAAAAAAGAGAGGGTGAACAGACCAACTTGGTTGTCCATTATCTCAAATGGAGTAACTTACTGTGAGGCATATGGCATCTTATGACACAAATAGGTAGAAATCCAAACCAAAAGCCAAGGGTGAGCTATTTTTTAAAAGACATTTTCATTTCATGATGTTATTTCAAAGCTAAAAGACAAATATACAAAAGTATCTTAAATCAGATTTAGTCTTTAGCCAAAAGGTGAAAGTCATTTGAAGTATAGTAATATAAAACTTGTGCAGCAGTCTGTGGAATGTACTTAGAGCAGATTTGCTTTGGAAATGGAGGGGAAGAAATCATTTGTGTGGTATATAGATTAAGCTGTTTATGTGTGTGTTGTGTTTTTCTTTTGTTACTCAGATTCTAAGCTGGGTCCAGCTGAGGTCTGGACATCCAGGCAGGCTCTGCAGGACCTGTACCAAAAAATGCTAGTTACTGATTTGGAATACGCTTTAGACAAGAAAGTAGAACAGGATCTGTAAGTATTATCTTTTAGGATGTTCCTATAAGATCAAGAATCTCACCAAGACTTTAAAACTGTTTGATTGGTTGTTTTTTTAATCTACTCCGGAGGAACATTTTTTAGTAGAAAGGAATTCTAATATTTGTAATTTTATTTTTTGACAAAATATTTGGCCATTAATATTTTTCCATTTGTGAAGGTAAGACAAGAAATGCATACAGAAGAATCTTATAAAGGGCAGCTCTTTCAAGGCATATGAGAAAAACAAATACATACATTTCAAGTGTTACGAATGCTTTTGGTTTTCTGTATTCGGTCCTACATTTAAGCCGTGATTTCTTTTTTAAATCTTTACAAAAATCTTTCTTGTTAAATGTAATGCTATACGTTTCTCCAACAGGAAAATGTATTTGCATTGTAAGGAGAGTCCTTTTTAATCAAGTAAATTAATACTTCCCTTTTTTTCCTCCTCCTAATAAAACTAAAGAAAGATTTTATGTATTTAGACTATTGTCTCTTGTTCTTTCTATGAAGGGTGAAATGGCAGATAACCAAATTTCCATGTGAGTAAATGCTTTGTATGCAAGGCCTTGCCTTATAAATTGGAAGAGGGACATTAGCCTGGTAGGAATTTAAAAATCAAATAAGAATATTCTGCCTAGTAATGCCTATTGCCCTAATTTTGCCGAAGAGTAGTTTTTCCTATCTTCCTATTTATTTTTTGGCACTACGGGATTTGAACCTGAGCACGTTACCACTTGAGCCATACCCCCAGCCCTGTACCTTTCTTGTATACTTTATATTTTTAGGAAATCTAGTAATAGAGCTAAATTACAGCCAACCAAAATCCTATCTATATTAGACTCAGGATAAGATGTCATCAGCAATGAATTAAGGGATTGACTGATATAGGTCATTTTTAAAAACCTGGGGCTTTAGAGCCTCAAAAGTTGACATAGATAATTAGGTGGTTTCCAGGTTGATTGTAAAACACTTACCTGTATTTGCTTCCTCTTTTCCCTGTGGTTTTTCAAGTTAAAGAGGTAAGTGTATTTCACCAAAACCGATTTTTTAAATTGTTTACATAACTTAATTAATGAAAAGCATTTTATAACAGAAGTTTGGTATGCCATATTTCAGCACTATGTCATTTTAAATAGCCAAAATTGAAAAGTAGCTGGCATTTCATGTTGCTGTAAAGAAAATATTAAACCTGGGTTGGGGGTTGTGGCTGAAGTGCTAGAGCACCTGCCTAGCAAGCACAAAGGCCCTGACCTCAAACCCAACTACTACCAAAAAAAAAAAAAAATCCCTTTTTAAAAAGAAAATACTAATCCCAAGATTAATAAATGGAATTATTAGATAGGAGTGGAACTGAATGCTATAGGGAAACAGCTTTACATTTTTAAAGCCTGCCTCCCATACATGTCACTTGAATAGAGTCAATTATTTTTGATACAGTGTTTGGAAGTTTATTAATAGCTTATTTTTACTTTGATCTTGTGATTATAATTTTGATTTTGTACTGGGATTCCTAAATAGGCTCTAACTGTGGTAGCTCTAAAAGATTTAATAGCTGAAGCCGCAGTCTGATTGTTCAAACATTTGGTAAGTGTCTACTAAGGTCATTTGAATTCTTCTGCATGTCTAGTCTTGTTCATAAAGTTATTTAAATGAATAACTTTAATGCAGGTTTACTGTCTAGTGTATTATAATTATAACAGACAGTTCTCAGGGGGACTAGTGTCTGCCTAGTGAGTCATTGCTATACCAAATAGAATTACATTTTGTTTTCAGCTGGAATCATGCCTTTAAGAATCAGATCACAACACTACAAGGCCAGGCAAAGAATCGAGCTAACCCGAATCGGAGTGAAGTTCAGGCAAACCTTTCTCTGTTCCTAGAGGCAGCTAGTGGCTTCTATACTCAGGTGAGTTCTGCATCGTATACCGTGTTTCCTGGTATTAGTGGTATTCTGCTCTTTGTACATATCTTTAGTTTACATAAATACTTCCTACAACCAGTACCTGAGACATCCAGAGGGTTATCTCCTATAATCTCAAATGAATACAAATGTCCTAAATTAGTTACTGTAAGACCTTCACAAAAAATAAAAAGACTCTACTCTTAGATGTTTTGGCTTACAGGTTGGAGGTGTAACTATGAATAGGAATGGGTTAAGTGATGAGCACAAAACCTCATTGGAATCACTGAGGTGGTTAGTTACAAGTGGTATTAGAGCAAAATTGAATTTATGAGTATCAGTATCAAAATTATGAAAGAAATAGGTTATGTTGTGCCAGGTAGGAAACAGTTGAAATTTGTAATGTCAGTGCATCTTCACAGTAGTATTTATACAGTGAAATTTACATGTATCTTGAAATGTTTTAAACTACCTAAGAAACAGCACCTTTTCCTCAGTTTGAAAAAAAACTTCTATTCATTATCTTCACATATTTTCTTTCTTTAGTTACATGCTGATGCAATTTCTGTATCAGGCTAGGTAAAGCATTAAATAAGTCCTATTTCTGACTATGGAATGAATATTCTTTACTATAGCACGATCCTTTGGAAAATTTTTGTCTCCTCCATTTGTAATTTAAAAGATAAAATTTTTTAATAGAAATTAGCATCTTACAATAAGACAGTGTTTCAAGGATCATGTGTTGAAAAATCTCTGGGTGGTTCTCTCTGTGTTGCTTGCCACCTACCTATATTCTGGCTTTATTTTCATTTTACTATTTCTTTGAATGAAGAAGTAAGAGAAAAAAGATCTCTGTATTGGAAGCTATTATTAAATAGCTATCATCTTGTAGAAATTATTTATGTTTTGTTTAGGCCAAAAAACACCCATCACACACAGTTCATTCAAAGAACGCGAGTACAGTTTTTATTCTCAGAATTCATTTTCAAATTTATGCTAGCTTTTACTTGATACTTTGGAGAGAGAATACTTTTGGAGAGAGGGATTGATGTTCCAGTAAGTAGTCCTTAAGGCAAATATTAAAGGCTTATTCATTATACAGGTACCTCTCGAAAGCCTGTAGTACATAAGATGCAGTATTAGATACTGAGGTCATGGAGGGAGATGAGATTGAATCTTTTACCTTCAAGGAAATGTCCAATCTGACTGAATAGATGGATAGATTATAGATAGGTCTTTTTTTTTTTTCTGACTATAAAAATAATGCATACTAATTTCAGAAATTTTAAAATGTTTTCATTCAGGATAAATTATCACTTTAATGTGTGTCTTTCTGATGTTTTTGTACTTTTTTACATTGCTAAGGCAGTACTATATATCCAGTCTTCTATCTGCTTTATACACATCTTAACAAAGTTTTGATTATTAAACAGTTTGAGTAAAACATTTTCTCTAATATTAAGTTAATTCCTGAGGACCAATTCCTTAAATTGATGCCATTAGGTGAATGAAAGTTTAAATACTATTAATACATAATGTTGTATGTCATCATTTACAGCATTTTCATCAGTTTCTTCTGTCTTTTCACCATAGAGTTTTGAAGTGTAGACATTGAGTTTTTTTAAAACTGTATTTTGTTTCCCTTTGTCCCTTGCTCAGCAGTTATTTAATAATGATAATGATCACTTTTAAAGAAACAAATGAATATTATAATCTAATCTTAATATTTGAAAACAATACAAATATCCTATAATGATTAAATAATGATGTAACTATAAAACAGAAACATGAAATTATTATAAATTAATATTATGAAGATTTTTAAGGTGAAAAAGTTGTTACTACTAATTGAAAAATTAATGATATAAAATTATATGTATAGTTTGACTATGTTGATTAAGTAGTTTCACCTCACAGAAAGTGTCTTCTCCCCTCCTCAATCACTGCCTTCTGCTGTGCTCTGTTAAATACCCATAAATATCCAAATTTGCATCATTACTTGAACAGATTGCATAACATTCTGGTTGTTTTTAGTTTCTGAAGCACAGTCCAGTTTTAAAATTTCATTTCAAATCTCTTTTCCTTCCGCCATGCAGTAGAAGGTAGAACTGGGAACACAACTGAAGTAGGGGAAGCAGAGAGAGGTGGTACAGCTGGCTGTGTTGTAGAGAAAGTACATTTTATAATAAACATTATTCACCTTTGTCATCATGAAAATTACTTTATTTTGTGGTGCTGGCGATTAAACCCTGGGCCTTCTGCTATTAGGCAAACACTCTACCACTTGGGCAATACCCACAGCCCTTTTGTTTGTATTTTGTTTTTGAGATAGGGTCTTGCTAACTTTGCTGTAGCTGGCCTGGAACTCTCAATCCTTTTGCCTCAGCCTCCCAAATAAGTGGGATTACAGGCATGTACCACCATACCTGGCTTGAAATGGTTCTTAACCTTCTTTTATGATGAGACATACATGTTACTGGACATTGATAAATCAAGGAGAGAGGTAACTTGGAAGCCAAGAGAAAAGCATTTCAT